TAAACTCGATAGACTGGACGAGAGTTTTTCACATAAAACATCGCTTTTCAATTTTCAGCCTGTTCTATTCCGAGCCTCGAGTCGTATTTCAAAACACGAGGGACGATTTGACGTATAGCCGCATGATTGGGGAAAACATAATTCCAACTAGGAAATGAATCAACGTGGGGTCATCAAATGGCTATCTACAATTTCAAGCGGGACATTGTGTCTCCAATAAATATGAAAATCTGTCAGCAAGCCTTTGCAATAAACGTTTGTATCACTTTATAAATGTCATACAGCCCTGAAGGGAAATACCACAACATTTGATATCTTGAAAGAAAAACAGATAAGCCGGAATTTGGGTATGTGATACGTGTGTTTCTTTGGTGGTCGATATTTTTAGATGTAGGAGTATGGGTTTTCTACAGCACTAGAGGATTTGATTTTGGAGTAGTGTTTTGCTCTGAAACAGTGTTCTGAAATAGTGTTGTAGATTTTGTCTTTTTAGTCTGAAATAACATGACACGAGATGCCGGTACATGTCTATTTATCTCTCCTGTTTTTATGACACTGACCAGCGCAGCGGCAATGGTCTTCTTCAAACAAATGGAGAAAGAGAACAATTGCAAACCATGGCTTAAGTAACTCTGAAACAGGGTACGGTGTTTTCGGTGTCAGATCTGAAGAAGAGGTCTGGAAAATCAAAACGTTTTAGTCTAAAATTGGGTCAGGGTTTTGAGACTGTGGAACACCACCAACCCCGGAAATACGTTAAGCATCAACATAATACATCCCACTTACTGAAATCACAGTTTGCTCTATTGACTTCTTGTTTATAATATTGTCTTTTGATTACCTACCTTGAGGAACAAAAAGGTTCACAGTTTCCTGTTGCTCCGTGTGATTCCTTTAAACAGTTTTCTCGAGTGAGCGTAAATCAAATTAACACACGCATTGTTAAGATATTAAGCAGGCATTTCGTATGTGCAATAAATATTTAACGAGTTAAACGGATTACCTAGTCGTTTTGGAGTTAGATTCAATTGATGAGGTATCGTGAACACCTTGTTAGCAATTCACTTTTTTATATGGCACGGGATGTTTTAAAAATTGTCCTAAATCAAAAGTCACAGCCTCGTGTACCTGGCAACAAGCATTTGTTATCATTTTAAAAAGGGTCGCGAGGCGCATTGACCCGAAACCATTTAAAATGTCTGTATCCGGATCGAAGAAGAAAGAAAGTTGGTAGCTAACGCCGGAATGTCTAAAACGCTTTGATTGATTCCATGCTTGAAACACGAAGTTTTAACCCAGTCGCTCCCAAGAACAAAACAATAAAAAAGATGCCTCATTTCGTTTTGCAAAACTATTGAAATCAACTGCACAACGTAAACATACTGCTCATTAGCTTTCATTTGAATGGTCACACACTGGGGGTTTCATCCACTGAGTTAAAAGTTAGAACTTCGTCAATTGATACAAGATTTGACTCTAGGAGTTGAAAGCATGGAAAATGCAATTGCTTCTAGCTCAAGCGAAGATTTTAATCCACACATTACACTGAAAACTGACGACTTTAAAAGTATCGAGTATGGTATTGCCAGACGAGTGTCCCAGCTTGTTAGACTTGCTAGTGTAGATACAAATCTATAGCATGACTTGATCCTGCAATTCACTCTCAAGTTGTGACATTTTCTTAATCCTTTATGTCATCGGACTTCTTCATTGGTAACAAACGGATGTTATTGTTAGACATAAACTGAACATTTAACTTTTATAAAGCTACGCTTCGAGGTCGAAATGCTGCACAAGCCATGTTTAACTTGTTTATCTGATTTGGCTTCGTTTCCTGTTCGATAATTGTTTTTTCCACCTCAGAGCTTTGCGACTTTGCCAGAGGCTGTTTTGATAAGAAAGCTGTTTTCAGTGAGATGTATTTGTAGAAAATACGGGCCAGGTTTATCTCATCTGACCATCCATTCGTAAGCTTTTATGATAAAAATCCCTGGATATTTCGCGTCTTGGTGAGCCGAGTTGCCGCCTTTTGGGCGTTTCAAGAGATTCGGTGCTACTCCAAGGCGAGGGGATAAGAACAGACAGTTGAATATCCCATCTCTCTACCTTTTAAATGGGCACTATCACGGGAATTTTTCTACTCTTTATGCCAAAACGGTGCAATAACTATGACTAAGTACCTTAGCTCATACACGAAATGCCCCTAGAACATCAAGAGGAAGATATCAAGTGAATTGTCGAAGGGAGAGCAAACCGTAATTACAGTTTTCAGCGATTTTTCAGAAGGGTATTAGATAGAAGGGTATTATTTTGAAAAGGTCTGCCCGACTTTTTCAAAAAAATATCAAAAGCTCCTATGGGAAACTCATAATAGCACTCCTTTTATAGCTTCAGTACACTAGTAATAGTAATTTTTAACAAAACTGGACCATTATTGCTAGGTTTCCATTGATATAAATATGTCTTTGGCTTTTGACTTTTCAACTGATGCTAATGATGGTGCCCCTTTAACTCATTTTTCTCCCTTCTCCCCGGCTAGTTTTTGCGGCCGTTTCTTCTCCTTCCTACATTTCTTCGGTCGTTTCTCCCTACTCCTTAATTTTTTCTCTCCTCCAAGGTTAGACAAACTTTTGATTCGCAATTTATTGAAAACGATACTCTTGTCCGACTTGTATCAACTTACAATTGTTTTGATTTAGAACAAAAGCGCTTAGATATTTCATTTCCAAATTTTCTAAACATCTGTCATAGCTTGGTTTTTAAGGCGGGGGTCCACCTGAATGCCATTTTTCCGCCACTTAACATGGGTTTAATGGAAATATCTCGTTCACGTTTCAAGCAATCCAAAAACTCTTAGCTCATCCCATGAATCTATGTTATGGGGTGTTTTGTAAATTTTTTGGGTGATTTTTGCGTATTTTTGGGAGGAAATAGTTTTTCTCAAAGGAGTTGTAAAATTTAGGGAAATAAGAAATATTGAAGATTTAATGTAGTTTTAAAATTAGAATTTGGAGTTAAAAATTAGTAGATGGACACCAACAGACAGTTGATACCCACGCAAGAGCACCCGCGTGGGCATCAACTGTCTGTTGGTGTTCCAAAAATCATTTTCTTTCTTCTATTCCTTCTTAAAACCTTTTAAAATGTCATTGAAATTCACGTTTACCACCGCCTTAAGTGCGTCACGTGTATTTTGGCGCCAGAATTAGAAAGCGCTTCATTTATAATTAACCATGGGACAATCTATTTTCAAGTCTTCTATTTTCCACACATGAGGGCCATTACTGGTTTTACGACCAGTTGATAATTTAAGAGGTTTGCACTGTTTTATTTATTAGAAACTTGTTCACTTATTTTGCGTGCGATAATTTACTTATTTTCTTAGGTATACCCTTGTCCTCTTCAAAAGCATTCCAGTAAATATTATTTATTTTCTTCTGCTTTTTAAGTTTCTCTGTTTATCATGATATACTGTGATCGATTCAGTTTTCGATATGAGTCAAAATTCTATTCCATTGAATTTTGAAAATATTTAAAATACTTGAAACTACTTGTAAAGTGATAATATTTTACCCGCAGTGTGCTATAAGCTGGAGATTAAAGCTCTTTTCCCTCTCTTTTCAATGAAGTTTTTGATAAAAAAGTTTTGTAAACATTATTTAATGTTTGAATCCCAATAATAATCAATACTAATTTATTGTTGACACAAAAACACGTGACAATGACTAAAGAAAATTAACAACAAAGGGAACAACACTAAGTTCTCAAACAACGAGGAGAATTAAAGAGTCCTTGATTAAATAAATTACATTTTGCTTGCTTTTCACATGCACAGCAGGACATGTCTCTTTCGTTTAGTCCTCAGACTTGTCAGTCGACCGTTTTTATTTCCGATTCGATTTCCTTTAGGTCATCCCATAAAATGTTTCATTTCCCATCGCCCGACCGATCCAATTTTTTCAAAATGTAGAAAAAAAAGTTTCTGATTCATTGCCTGCGCCCTTTTCTCGGGTGTTTCCAAGTTTAATATGCTTTGTTTACATCTTAAAGTCACTCTGACATCTAAATCAGCCAAGTAATGACGTCTTCGAACATCTTTCAGAGTGATATCGGCTCGTTGCAAAATGGTGGTCACGGGAAGATATAATCAAGGCTCGCTTGGAATTATTTATGTATAATTAGTCAATATTTCGATTCTCGGCTTTTCTTTCTTTTTTTTTGACCGATCGACCGACCCACTTTCACGAGAGAGAGGGCGATGGGAAACAAAACATTTTATGGGGATGGTCTTATTTCATTGTCGGGGAAACAAGTGCCGGTTTTGGCAAATCTTCGTGGAAGGACTCCTCCAAGAGTTTGCAAATCTTTTCATCCAATCAGAAACTAACGCGAGCACTCACGAGTACTCCGAAAGCAATCGCGCTTATAAATACGTCATGTTGCTTAGCAACTTCGGGTACGAACACCGCGGGCTCAGTCCAGTCTCGCCATCAACTGGTACTTGTCAACCTCGTCCCCAGCCGCCATCTTGAAAGCGGAGATGGCCCTGGGGACGAGAGAAAGAAAAGTCTCATCACGGTTATCGTCGGTGGAATTTTCATTTAAGTAACTACCTTGAGAGAAAATTACAAAATCTAAGCTTGTGAACGTAGATTTAAAAAAACTTGATTTGGCGGGTACTGGGGCGATCTTAACTGGTCCGTAATCTCGTTATCATCTCTTAGGAGGACATAGTTCGTCTTCGAAATGAAACTATTCTTTTGTGATTTAAATCGTATCTATGTAATAGTTTCGTTTTTCTGCTTCTTTTCAAACCGTCATTTTGTTTTCTTTTCTAGTAAGCCTAATTTGATGGCAATTACCTGAAATTACAAGTGACATGCAGGTTTCTATCGAGATTCTCTTTCCATACATATCTCACATATCACACAAATCCTGGCAGTGTGCGGGAAGTTTGTCACATTTGAACCTACAATAGTTATATTGCCTAAGCTCCGACGACTCCTGTAGCTCAGTGGTAGAGCGTCCGTCCGACCGGTGTGCAGAAGGTCGTTGGTTCGACTCCTGTTGGGAGAACTTGGAAAACGTTTTTCCGAGTAGTTTGTGTCACTGACTGATAAACACCTTTCCCATATTTCTTCAAAATTCACCATTTTCCACACAAATTCTCATTAAATAACATTTTGAAGCTGGAGAAGTATGGCAATCAGAAAGGAGAATTTGACAGGCACGCAAGGACAATGAGTAAAATATACGGAGATACTACACTTAACGATCTAATAACTAAAGATATTTATTATCCAACTGATTTTAGACCGTCAATAAACGAAGAATTAGAAGCGCGCTTACGGTTTCCATAGCAACTAAATCACTAACTCGACAAATGGGATATTTCGCGTGTCGAGACTTTTTTCTTCATTTTTACATGGTACCCTTAGGAGTGAAAGATTTAAAGAATTTGTAGTGTTATGCAAAGAGAATATATAGCAACATATCTGCCTTGATAGATTTCCCTTGCTCTGAAAATGCAGCACACGTCCAACCTGCTATTACGGAGACAATTGTCTCTAAGAATTCTTATGCCACTTTAACTTCTTTCTTTCAGCTAATCCCACGGGTGTCTTAGTTCTTGAAATTAAAGTTATTATATCAATTAACGGGTTCCACCGGACTTCAAAACTGAATATATAGCTCTTATCTCTTGGCGAAGAACCAAAACAGGTAAACTGGAATTAGTTATTTCTGACTAGCTAAAAACCACGTGCTTTGAAGTGCATACCTGCTGGTGTATAATGGCGCGCGTGTTGTTTACATAGCCTGATGTAAACACGAGGGAAAGTTCAAGAGAATTGTAAAGTTTATAGTACAGTCAAACCAGTATTAAGCGGACACCCTTTATTAAGCGGACAGTAGTGAGCAAAAGTCCCAAAATCTATCAGTTCCCTTATTTACTATAAATATTAATTAATACCTCTATTATGAAGGGGCAGTGTCACCAAGATTTAGTACTACTTAACATCCTAGCAGAAGTGTTTGTATCAATGGAAATCCACTAATAGTGGCCTGGTCTTGCTAAAAGTTACTATACTAGTACAGAAAAACTGTTAAAAAAATTATTTGACTAAGGACGGGTAGGAAGGAAGTGGAATGAAACTTGAAAACGTCGGGTTTTACGGTGTTCGTGGGAAAAATAACTCAAAATCAATGATTCTGGTTTGTTCCCACCTCAGGAGAATGAATTGATGTCTTTCTCTTGTTGTTCAGGAGCCATTTTGTGCATCAGCGAGTGTACCTTCATAATTCAAGCTTTGTTTGCACAAAAACTTGGGAGAATCAGTCTCGTGATACTGCCCCTTTAAGCGGCCACCCTGTATTAAGCACGAGCGGACACTAGAGCATTCTCAGAGGGTGTCCGCTTGAGTGTTTGCATCAGGCTATGTAAACAAGAATCAAATAAAGCCAAAAAAATGCGATGATAGGTCATAACCGTGTTTACATAGCCTCATGCAAAAAGACTACTCGACCAATCAGAGCGCGCGTTATACGGATGAAAATGTTATAATGATAATTGCAACGGTTTCCTCTCCTTTAAGCTGCATGCCTCAGGCAATGTATAAACCTGATTTATGACTTCCGCTTTTAAAGTTGTCTGTTTTATATCGATAAACCGGTCTTTAGAGTTCGCTGGCTACTGGTACGCAGTTGTCTCGATCATTTATCTTCATTATGTCAGTCTCAAAGTGTTTACCATGTATTCAGCGACTCGATGTTTTTGCGTAATGATGAAATTAATGTTTCCTTTTCAATTTCTACTGAACAGGAATTCAAATTCGAAAAGTGGTTAAGGTTGAGATTCTGAAGTTCGAGTTTATGAGCCAGCTAGCGGCTACGATAAAGGAACTGAACTAAAATAAAAGAAAAGTCCTGATGGAAATTATTATTTTTTTTCTGTTCGCGAGATAATGAGATTCGTCTGAAAGGCAGTCTACACGCATTTTGTCGAGCGAAGACATACACCGGCCTCTTTCATAAATGGCCGCCCAGCAATTTTTTGTGTGGCAAGGTTTTCAAGGTATCGATGCTACAAAATATGTTATCCTGGGAAGTTTGAGCGTTTTTGGTTTAACGGCTGCAAAGTTATGGCTGTTTCAAATTTAAGACATTTGTATGGGAAATCAAAACCTGGCCTCACAAGCCTCGTTTTCATGTTTGTGCAAAAATTGAAATGCTTACTACTTCTCCCCAAAATAGGAATATGGCCTTAAACATACACATATTGACTCATTTTGACATGATCTTTCTTGTTATTGAGTTCTTTCTCTTGCAGTTATGCCGGGCATTTCAATTTTCAAAAAATTGCTGGGCGGCCATTAATGAAAGAGGTGTATTGGGAGGGCCAGCTACATACAAAACTATATTCTTTGTTTTCATCTGACGTCATCAAAATTCTAAAATATAAACTGTTAATCCTACAAAGCTATTCGTTTTATATCTTCGAGACATGGAAATAATTAATCTCTATGCAAAGTTTGGTATCGATCCAGTGATTCCTTTTGGAAATAAACCTATTTGAAATTTGTGATGTCCCGGATGAACGTGTTTCTGAACTGTCACAAAAACGGATATTTTTATATATTTTTTAAATTTTCAGACGTGATAATAATTTAAAAGTGATGTCTAAACAAATTTGACGTGAAAGCTAATGATAATGACGGTAGAATCTACTCTACTTCTTGTGCAATTTTATGGCGGCCATATCTGTGCCCCTCTGAAGGACACAAACATGGCGGCGGCATACTAAATACTGTAATTTTCTGAAAATTAGTTTGTATTGGTAATAACTCGGTTATGAAAAACGCTACAAAGCTATAATTTGGACAAAACGTTTCTTTCTGCCAGTTCTTTTACCTGTTAATTGTCTGATGTTGTTCATGCAAGCATGTTGATGAAAACCACCAATAGATGTCATTGGCCAAGCGTGAGGCCAATATCTCGCCATCTTGACCGAACAAGCCTGGTCAATAGGACGCTAAAGACAGTTTAATTATTTGTTTATTCTTTTCAAGACATCCTATTTCTTTGTTTTTGGACTCCATCGATAGAAAGAGACAGAAAATCTTTGGGTTGACTGAGAATATATTTTTCTTCGTGCAAATTACGAACGAAAAGCTTTTTGAACCGGTACCGCGGTGTCAGTAAAAGGTTTCTTGTGGGAACACAGCGGGACATTCCGAGCAGGCAAGATGAACCAAATCATGTGCTCTGAATGGCTATACCCGCGCGGTCAAGATGGGCCGCTCACAGAGCCAGCCATATAACAAATAGATGTTATCGAAAAGCTGTTTGAACAAAGTTTTGTTAGGTTAGGTTCTACCTGAGTCGAGAAAACGGAAGTTGAAAACTGAAAAATTTAGTCATACAAACGTCTCTAAATTTTCCAGTTTTCAACTTCCGTTTTCTCAACTCAGGTAGAACCTAACTTGACGAAATTAAACGTCGTACGATTACCAAACAAGAGGTGGTCTTTCAGGTGCTGGTATTGATTTTCCGCTCAGCTTAATATGAATTTGCGGCGGCCATTTTGGAGAAAGGTCTATTGTTTTGGCAAAATGGTTAGCACCCCTGCTTTTGTTACGTTTAGGTGATCCACTTTTACAAGTGATTAAGATAAATTAGAGATGTGCAATCGCAAGAGGCGAACGTGTTGTGAAAAACGGAATGTGGTAGAATAACAGCCAAAATATATCACTAAGTAATTCGAAGGAAATCAAGCTTATTCGTTATCACTTGCACTATAGTATTTCGTCATGAATTTATTTAATATTATTCTTAGAGAAAGGAAATAACTTTTCCTGAGTAAAAGCGATCGACCAGTAACAAAATCTTGACATGCAATATTTTAAAGCCGTTTTTATTGTTACTTCACACCCAGAGTCAAACCTTGAGTCAATATAAATGTGGTTGTACCTTTTGAGTCTTTGGATGAAACCGTAGTGTGTCACCATTCAAATGAAAGCTATTGAGCATTACTTTCAAGTGGTACTGTTTGTTTTTGACAATTTTGCAAAATAAAATTTAAGATTTTGTTTCTCAGTTTTGAACTTAGCGCTCTGTCTTGGGAGTGAAAGGGTTAACTGCCGTGCTTTTGTGTGTTAAGAAATGCCACAAGGAGACAAACTTGAAAACCATACCAAACGGATACAAGAGAAATTCTATCTCACCACAGATTGAACCCCTTAAATTTCAAGAACACAAGTTATATTTCTTACCTTAAAAGTAATTGACGGGAGCATAGACAAGTATCGTTAGTTGTTTTGCTTTTTTGCTCTTGCTCTTGTCTTTCTAATGCACGAGGCGTTGCCAGGAGGGTGGAAACATAATTAGATATCAGTTAAAAAGAGGAAAGATTTTCTTTATGTGTTCGTCGCTGCCCAATCTCTGCATCTAAGAAAGGAGCATTAGTTTTGTTCACCCTTTATTGTGCGTTTTCCTAAAGGAAAAAGCTGTCAAATAATGGAAGCAATTTGCTGTTTATTTGAACTTTATAACAACCCATTATTATTATTTATAGTTCTCTGTTTTAAATCTCTCTTTTCTTCAGCGTAACTTAAAGTGCTTATACACTGTTCGACTAAGAGATATTTTTAAAATCCACTTTAGTCCCCTGCAATTTTAAGTGTTTTTGCCAGGTGAAGAAACATTGTATTTAAACAACTACTTTAGGCTGTAAAATTATCTTGCTCTAAGTGCAATATAATATCGTTGACTTCATTTGCAATTATTGATGGACATTTAAAAGTTCTATTCCTCAACTGATCGTTAGAACTCTTTTGCTTTGGTCAGAAGGATTTGACTGATGCAGTGAGATCGATTTCCTGCGCCCTAACCACAAGTGAAGTATTTCAATAAATCTCATAATCTTCCTTTGTTTGAACTTCCTTGGCAAGTAAACTTTCATTAAAACACTATAGAGACAGTTTAAAAAGAATAAATTTAATAACCATATGTTTAAAGAATATAATTTAGTTTAGTAAATAATGCTTAGTCAAGAAACAACAAAGGAAGAACAACAATGG